AAACAAATCTCTTAGAGACTTAGACCTAGATGATAACCAAAGACTTGGAATTTCGAATGTAGCTAACAACGTAATTGAAAAGGTTGGCGACCCCTTGGCTTAGCTGGTGCTTACAGTTAACTCTTAATATCATTAATTAGTTCTCAGTTCTCAATTTCTCATATATAAATGCCACAAATTACAATTACCTAAGGTACAAAATGTACAATACCATTAGATACAGCCGATATGCTAAATGCTAATACTAACAGCCTATGTGTTACATGAAGGAAAACTCTTTGCTCTATCTTGATAAMTATACAATGACTACTCTTCTACTGTTCCAAGACTGGTTTTCTATCACAGAACTAAAGTTTTAACTTTAAAGTTCCCAGTCCTCGGACCACCCACCCCCTTAAAAAGGTGTGGCGACTGCCACACCTAATACATGGGTTCGGCGCCACTGATTAGCACTATTAGCAGGGGTTATTTTTAAGATTAAAGGATCTTAGGGCATATTTTGAAAAATAGCTGTACACTAAMAAAAAGTTTTGCGTCCCAAAATGATCTCAATTGAACTTAATCAAAATTGTTGTCTTATATCTACACAAAATCACAATTTCATACAATTTATTTTCCAAACATGGTTTGTACTTGGCAGTCAATATTTAAATATATTTATTACCTCAAGTTAACTGTAAATTGCTATTTAACACTATTTACATTATTATTTACCTATACTAACATTATTTATAGAACAGATTATTAATATGTATTAAATAATAAGTATTTCAATATATTGATTTCTTAATGGAACATTTATAAATTATTTAAAATACAACCAAAATTATTAGATAAATTCCATTAAAGGGATTTAATATAGACTGTTTATTGATATAAATCATATCTATATTTTTTTCATTATATCAATAAAACTATTAATATTAATATTAATAGTTAATAATAAAAAAGTTGAAAATGCATTTAAATTTGTTTTGCAGTTCAATTGAGATAGATTACTTTTTATTAATACAATTTTGATTCTAATGCTAATATTAATGGCCCACACCGCCCACGCCTAGCGCCGCCACTGTTTCTAGTGATGTCATGACTTAAGATATTTGTCAAATTTTTTGATACCTACTTAATAAATTGTTTATTATTTTTAAATATATCCTAAGCCAATGGTAATATAATACAGTTTTTATCATTTATTTTTTTTTTAAGTAAAATAATTATAATAATGAATTTTTTTCAATCATTTGTACATTTTTCGGAATTTTTTAACATAATATTTTTATCCCGAGGTCCAGTTATGAGTTAGGTTATATAGAAATTTATTAAAAACTCATACTTGTTGAGCTTGGGATTCAGCTTGTGTCTGGTGGATAGCAGCATGTACTTGAAGTTCTTGAATTTGTTGAGTTAGTAAATGTTTTCTAAGTAATAGTGATATCCTGTTGATATCTTCAGCTATTATTGTATTATCTAGTTGTTTATGTTTATTTGATACTTCAAGTTTATAGTAATTTTGTAACATCTTCAAATTCCTAAATCATAATAATTTGATTAAGGAAAAAATCCTTTATACATTTTATTTTTAACATACTCATGTGCTGATTTTAGTAGATGTCTATTTTTTCGATTTTCATCCAGTACTGTTTGTAATGAAGCTTCTAATTTATCTACACGGTCACACAGAAATGACTTCCATTTAGATAAATCTTCAACGATTAAACTAAAAATATTATTATAATTAAATATATGGATTTAGCTAGTAAAAAAGATGGTATTTTATATTATTACCTGCCAGCTAAAAATTTACTCCGTAACACATCTCGTTCTCCAGCAATATTTTCCAATTGATCTTGCCGACCAGCTAATGCTCCTGTAAAATTGAGCAATTTGTGTGCCAATAATACTTTATCCTCGGTCAGCATTTGTATTTTGGCTTCTATATCTTCACCAATAGATGCAACAAGCATACTTTTAAGTTCATTATTAACTTGTGCTTGCGAGTCCATTTGAAGTTCCATATTAGCTAACTGTGAGTTAAGTTTATGGATCTCTTCTTCTAAATTCTAAAATAAGATTTTATGAAGTGTGTAATATTAATTAATAGCTGAAAATAAGTATAAAGTAATATTAATATTTCTTTACCTGTTTTTCTTGAGTCAGCATAGTTATCACGTCTTCTTTGTCTTCATTTACATTGGATACTTTACTGCAATTAGATGCAGTTGACAGTCTTCTTTTAAATATGGCTACTGAAGGTTGACCCAACTCTGGCACTATTGAACGAACTGCAGCCTTATATGGCTCATAGGGAACAAATTTTGGTTCTTTATCAGGTGACTTTTTAATATTTTGATATCTTTTTGGGCCTGGCGTCATTTCATGCATAGTTTTACTAGGATGGATTTGCCTGTCATTAGGTAATACTTTATTTCCATTAAATATCTCCTTTGGTTTAACCACTTCATTCTCACTACCCTGTTGTTTATCCAAATCATTAGATTGTACTTGTGCAGCTGAAGAAGTATTAGAATTTTCCATTTTTACAGAACAGAACAAGCTGTATGTGATTTATTTCCAATAGTTAAAAAGACAAACCATATGTCGTTGCATATTATTTTATTCTTAAATAGTTAAGTATTACTGAATTCAATAAGAGTTTAATCAATTGATAATTATTTTCACAGCCTTTATTTTTCATTTAAAACAGTTAATTTACTTAATATTACTGACTTAAATACTGCATAGTATGTTTGAATTCAAAAATATTTTTATCATAATTGTAAGTATATTACACGTATTCACTAATAAATTATATTATAGTAATAACCGATAATAAATTAAATAATATGATGAGAGCATAATATTTTATTTATGTATTTATGATAACAATATATTGATAAGTATTATCATCTAGATTACGTAAATGTACCGTGATAACACTGATATTTTCAACCACGGTCTTACCACAGATTATAATCTTACATTTCAATTTTCAATCCATGTCTGATAATAAACAAAATAATTCTCCAAATAGGGTTTTTGTTATCCATAAATTATAATTATTAATCATATCTGTGACAAATTCATAAATTAATATCATTGATTGTAATTATTACTAGTTAATAACCTTTTTAGTGTCACAAAATACGAATTCTTATAGATTAGGTATTAAATAGGTTGGCACCTACTATTGATGATTAAAAATTATAATTACTTGAACTATTATTTATTATCCTATAAATTTTATTTTCGCATATAATGTATATTCTTTTAATTTTTATTATCTGAATAATATCAACAATTGAACCACGGTTAAAGCTGCCAAATGGTACCATTAACCATACTACCATTCAACCAACTACTTTAAAGTTATAACCTAAACCTAAACCTAAACTAGCCAAATTAGGTAATTATTAAATAATTCGAATAAAAAGTTAGGTATTCCGTAGTTATTTATAGGTACTTGCTTAACTTTTACAAATCTATTAATTCAAACTATTATCTTCTTTTTATTTAAAATTTTAAAAATTGCGGTATTAAAATGTTATATATAATAAAGAAGTTAGGTACTATAATGTTTATAGGTAGGTAATTAAATGATTAAAATGTTTCGCATAAATACAATTAGTGTAATCATATTAGAAAATAAAATATCAAATACATTTTTTTCCTAATTTAACTATTTTTATTTTTGTAAACTATGTTCCAAAGGTATTTGAAATGTTGTATGGTACAAACTTGAACCAATACAGAATGATTTTTTTTATCGTAGGTAAGGGAATTTTAATCATTTTATATTTTTGTATAACGACTAGCTGTACTTGATTATTATTAACGCCACTCTACATTGTGGCGATAACAAATAAATATATATTTTACTATTTAAAACTATATAATTATGATATTCATTAGAGGAGTTTAATTTTTAATTTAATATTCCGAAGAAAAATATTTTTCTGAAAATTATGGTGTACAAATAATGAACATAAAAAATACTGTAAGTTAATTTGTATATGGTATTTTTTTTGAAGTTTATAAGAGATAGTTGTTGACATGTCACATGTATATGTTATGAGTTGCTTATTATTTACATCTCTTATTCTAACTCTAAATAAGTATTAAGTATACTTACATAGTATGAATAAAAACTATTAATGGATTTAATATTCAATTTATTTGCAAATTACATTTCTTCAAAAAATAAAATTATAAAAATGGCCAGTTTAATAAAGTAATAATAACCAATGAAAAATTAATATAGAAATGATAGGTCAGTTAGGATGACCATTTGAATAAAATAAAAAAACAGGACAGTTGTTACTCCTTCCCAAAAAAATAACAACAAAAATCCATCAAAAAAATTATTTATATTGTAATGACTCAAAAATAACGTGATTAGTAGTTATGAATGAAAATCTTCTTCATAATAATATACTTATTAGAGTATTATAGTTAAGCACTTTTAACAGAGGATTAATAATAGGGCTTGAAATGTCAACTGTCTTTACCTTGCTTTTAGTATATATTTAAGTCCATGCATTATTATTATTTACATACTTAGAAGTAGTGAGTACATAAATGTATAAACGAGTCACCTTATTAAAGTTACCTAGGCTTATGTGCCTTTTATTAAATGACATACACTATTAATATTATCACCTTGGATAAATATATTAATATAATTTCTTACCTGCAGGCTGCAGTGTATAGTGGGCAAGTATTGAGTGATTTCTCTTGAAGTGGGTTCAGGAGATGAAAATCCACATATTGAGTGAACCCAGGCCAAAGAATTACTCTTAAAGTGGGTAGTTTAATTATTTTCAAAATAATTTTTAAACTAAGTAAATCAATGTTGATGAAATATTTTGCTAAAAGTAGTACTAGACAGTGGTCCACATAACGAAGTTAAAGGCTTAGTTATTTTTACTAGCTCTGAACGGTGTGTGGTGTTGAATACAGACTAGGGTAGTGAGTACAGACCAAGTTTTTGAGTGCAGACTGAGTGTAATATCGAAATTGGATTCTACTTATATCATAATACTTCGATTTTGAACTTAAGTATCTTTTCCAGTGGGAAAGTTAGTCTATTTGGTGCATTCGGGAGATAAATTTCAAAATTCTTAGTTGTTCTCAAGAGTGCCGGGAAAAATAAATAAATAATTAAGGGATATCTGGATTTTTTACGTAAGATCGGTTTTCGACAATCGATTTTGATTTTGGGTGTAACTCTAAAACAAATTACCATTTACCATAGATACATGACATTTTCACTGAATGTTAACATTTGTGTTTGCTAAAAGTACACCATAACATTTCCAAAATATTTTGACTCATTTTGAGCAATTTTTACTATTTTTAGGCATAACATTTTCGATCATATTGGTTTTTTTTTTWAAATTAATATTGATAAAAAATTATTATTAGTTCAAAAAACTTAAAAATTTAATCCAAGATTCTTTATAAGTTTATTTATCTTAGACCATAAAAATATGTTTTCTAGAAAACAAATTAAATTTTTTCGAGTGTTTGAAGTTAAAATTTTTACATAATTGAATTTTCACATGGAACGATTTTCCTATTTTGCTTTAATTCAAAAACGAGTAACTGTAGATACTTGAAATTTACCAAAAATGTTAGGTTAGGTTATAATGTTAATTTTAAAATTTCCTATACTGGCTATGCTTGATAAAATTTTAAAATATTTTGATTTTCTTTAAGCCATTTACTGACATTTTTAGTTTTTTTTTTAATGTAAATGTTAATTAGATTTTATTCGTTGGGTCAAAAAGTTTGAAAGTTCGATTCAAGATTTCTGATGTATTGTTAAATAGTTGTTGAAAAATATTAACAATATTATAGTCACGATGTATTGTATAAGCATTTAAAGTTAATGTATTGACAAAATTTAATAAATTTAAAATTTACAGATTATTTAGTAATTAAATGTATATAACTTTAATTTTTATAGCTATGGGTTAAAAATATAAAACAAGGTTCTGCATAAGTTTCTATTCTGTAACCAACAAATAAAAAAAATATTTAGGTAAGTACAGTTTTCGTATAGTTATTTTAAGTTTAAATTTGGGCGAAATTACATATAAAATAACGGCTTTAATTAAACTGTTGTAATTTAAAAATATTGTGTTATTTGTGAGTACTTAAAATTTTAAAATTATATTACAATAATATTAGTTCAACCTATCAATTATAACAGTATAATTAATATAATATAAAATATCCTAGGCTGATAAACCGTCTATTCTCTATGATGGTATATATATATATCTAAGGAATTCAAATTTTATACTATCCAGTATCCATTAGTCATTATTCATTACAGTGACCCACTCGTAACTTACTATGCAGCAAAGCTGTAGTACTGACACTTATCACTTGCCTGTTTTATTTTATTTTTTATTTCGTTACAATTATATTGTAAACATTGTAACACGKTGTTATTGATAGGCATTCAAGCCTTCCAAGCAAGTTACATGACCATAAGGGTTCATTTTTTTGATATCTTAATAATAATTATTTTTTTTAAAACTAAAAATTTACCAAAGTAATATTTTACAAGCGAGTAAGTTAAAATAATATACCTATTATGTATTACATTTATTAATATGTAGATATATATACATAATTTTATCTATATTCTATATATTACACATGTCTGTACTCTGTAATGACTAAATACAATTTTGTGTAACCGAGCGTCATGTGATAATTTTATTAGCAATATCTATCTTTTTAATTTATAATAAATATACATTATTTGAGATTAAAACGTAAATAATTCATACCTTGTCCGAATTCACTGGTGTTCAAGTCCACTTGTATGTAGACTAGAACTACGGYGTAGACGGATTGTGGACATCACAGAACCGACCTCCGAGACGACCAGTGTAATACTTAACTTTCTGAGTTGTTGTACTCGTGAACTTCAATTGTTATAAACGTCAAGAACTGAGTAATTAGTCGATGTGATATTTAATTATAGAACAATAAAATTTACGCTTGAGAAATATCTTCAAATTAATATAATATTGTGTTGCGTTCTTTTAATCGATCATCATTATAAATCCTAACGATCAAGATTAGCTTATCCTTTAGTTTCCTGTCAGGTTATCTGAAAAATATTTAAATACTTGAAATTTAAATAAATCTACACCTAATGATTCCAAAATATAGTTTAAAAATATGAATTTTTAATTTTAAAATTATATGCAAGTTCATAAAAATTTAATTCAATGCAGAAAACAAATACAAATTTTTAAACCCGTCATGGGATAACTGATTACGGTTAAATTTTATTACATTCACTATTCACTCATAGAAAGTCTACAAAGTGTAACTGATTTCTGGACGCCCGTAATCAACTCGCATCGTTTTAGGAATGCACTTAACTCAGTTATGCATATGAAAATAAACAATACCATTAAACTATTATGAATAGTTGTTTATAAGACATTTTTTATTGTGGTTTCTAGAGTTGTAGAGACGACTGGTGATTGGATAACCAAGATTTCACTATAATTACAATCACCTAGTACAAAAATACAAAAATCAACTGAGATATTTAGTTTCTTGTGTTTAAAAATCACCATCAGGCTTCCGAAATATCTAATATAGATAGACAGGATTTTGTTTAATAAAAATACATTTATTATTTATTGTCCTATATTGTAGTATATAGCTCTAATCAAAATAACCTGATTCAAATAATTAATTAAAC